AGTCATTATATTCGAAGATGGTAACTGGGACAACAAGTATAGGTCATCTTCAATAGAGGTGTCATGCATGGTACGTGTCTGCAACCAGCTGGGAAAACTCCTGGTTTGTTCACGTGTAATCCAGTCATCAGACCGCTCCGGGTGTTTGGAGCGTAGCAAATTCTTGTGTTCATCCATATACGGAGCCACCAAGGCGGAATTCTGTAGAACTGTGTAGTGTGCTTCAGTGAGAGAATGTCCATCCATACATATTATTTGTTCCCCTCCTAGCGTGCCTTTTCCATCCAGTCTGCCCTTATGCCGCGATTCAGGAACACCAATCGGTTTAAGGTCAGGAATAAAGTCAATACAAAACTCAATGACCTCCTCATTTTCATGGCCCTTGGAGATGCTTCCTTCTGGCCTAGCACGGTTATGAACATATTTCTTTAAGACTCCCATGAACCTCTCAAAGGGGAACATATTGTGTAGAAATACATGACCCAAAATGTTAATCTCTTCGCATAGGTGAACTAGGACGTGCGTCATGATGTTGAAGAAGGATGGTGGGAACACCAACTCGAAACTGACAAGACATTGCACCAAATCATTCTCTAACCTTGGTATGATTTCTGGATCGATTACCTTCTGAGAGATTGCATTGAGAAATGCACCTAGCTTCACAATGGCTAATCGAACGTTTTCCGGTAGAAGCCCCCTCAATGCAACCGGAAGCAGCTGCGTCATAATCATGTGGCAGTCATGAGACTTTAGGTTCTGGAACTTTTTCTCTGCCATGTTTATTATTCCCTTTATATTCGACGAGAAGCCAGACGGTACCTTAATACTGAGCAGGCACTCAAAGAAGATTTCCTTCTCTTCTTTGGTAAGAGCGTAGCTTGCATGACCCTGATGTATGCCGTCTTTCCCGTGCATACGTTGCTGGTCCTCGCGTGCCTCAGGTGTATCTTTTGTCTTCCCATACACGCCCAAGAAGCCAAGCAGGGTCACACAAAGATTCTTCGTCACGTGCATCACGTCGATTGCGGAGCGGACCTCTAGGTCTTTCCAATAGGGCAGGTCCCAAAATATAGATTTCTTCTTCCACATGGGTGCGCGTCCGTCAGCGTCATTCGGAACAGGTTGTCCACCAGGACCCTTGCCAAAGACCACCTTCAAATCCTTGATCATATCATGTACATCAGCACCAGTACGGTGGCGAGGCTTCGTCCGGTGATCTGCCTCACCTTTGAAATGCTTGCCTTTCTTTCTTACGGGATGCCTGCTCGGAAGAAATCGACGATGTCCCAGGTACACATTCTTCTTACAATTAGCCAAATATATACTGTCGGTATCGTCCAAACAATGCGTGCATGCGCGGTATCCCTTGTTTGTCTGTCCTGAAAGGTTACTGAGAGCAGGCCAATCATTGATGGTCACGAACAACAACGCCTTTAGGTCAAATTCTTCCCCCATGTGCTCATCCCACGCACGTACACCTGTTCCATTCCACAATTGTAAGAGTTCTTCAACTAATGGCCTTAGGTACACATCAATGTCGTTGCCGGGTTGCTTAGGGCCTTGGATGAGCACTGGCATCATAATGAACTTCCGCTTCATGCACAACCAAGGAGGAAGGTTCTACAAACATAGAGTCACAGGCCAGGTGCTATGGTTGCTGCTCTGCTCCCCAAAAGGATTAATGCCATCTGCGCTTAGACCAAACCATACGCTCCTTGCGTCATCTGCAAACTCCTTCCCGTACTTTCTTTCGATTTTTCTCCACTGCGACCCGTAAGCGGGTACTCTCAACTTTCCGTCTTTCTTACGGTCTTCTCTGTGCCATCGCATCGCCTTGGCATGCTCTTTGTTTTGGAACAAACGTTTCAACCGTGGTATTATAGGAGCATACCACATCACCTTGGCAGGAATCTTCTTCCTGGGGCGCTCGCCCTCGACATCACCAGGGTCATCGCGGCTGATCTTATAGCGCAATGCACCACATACCGGGCAAGAGTTTAAATCCTCGTACTCACCGCGGTAGAGGATGCAATCATTAGGGCATGCATGTATCTTCTGCACCTCTAACCCTAGAGGGTAGACAGCCTTCTTTGCTTCGTACGTACTCTCGGGCAATTCGTTGTCCTTTGGAAGCATATCCTTTATCATTACCAGCAACTTTCCAAATCCCTTGTCAGATACACCATTCTCTGCCTTCCATTGCAGCAATTCCAGTGTGGTGCCCAGCTTTTTCTTGTCACCTACGCAATTCGGGTACAACAATTTTTTGTGATCCTCTAACATGCGCTGCAACTTCTTCTTCTCCAAATCACTTGCGCAGTTTCTCTTTGCATCGGCAATGGCCCGACCTAGATCATCAACGGGCTCATCTGATGCCTCTTCTTCAGCTTCTTCCCGCATTGCCGGCTCAGCTTCTTCCCGCATTACGGCTCAGCTTCTTCCCCCATTGTTGTATCATCATATTCGGGGAACCCATGGCCAGGATAGCTGTCGTCGTCCTCTTCTTCTTCATTGTCTTCCATCATAATCCCTCTTTCTCCGTGCTTGGTCCAAACATTATAGTGGGGCATGAAACCGGACTTAAACAGGTGGACGTGAATGGTTCTTGACGTAGAGTAATTGTGACCATTCTTACAGCCAGAACATGGACAAGGCATAAAACCATCCGCCCGCTTGTTTGCCTCAGCCGCAAGCAGAAAAGTATGCACGCCCTCAACGAACTGGGGAGAGCATCGGTCATCGTACATCCATTGCCGGCTCATCTTCATTACACAACACCGAATAGACCAAATTAATACAAGTTCATACATAAAGTTCATACAACACTTAAATGCAACAAACAAATAACTCTCTAGCTAAAGCATTTAAATGCAACAACAAATGCGATCAAGATCGCAACTAAGGTAACAATTGATCCAACAGCATAATGATACCAAGCCTCACTATCGATGGCATATTTTCTAATCTTTCTAATCTTCAAGCGCATTTTCTCCATCTTGATCTTGTGATCATCGACGACATCGGCAACATGCAACTCCAATTCCATCTTCTCCCCCTCAATTCTTTTCAATTTTTCTTTCAAGTACTCGTTTTCTCTTTCAACTAAATTTAACCTCTCGACAATAGGGTCGGTTGGAATTTCCGGTTCACATACCTCCTAGAAAAAATTTCTATGTCAACTTGATGGGCATAATTTGTCATAAACACGAAATGCAACTAGTTTTAAAAGAGAATATATATACCACATCCGAATCATAACAAGGACGAGGGCCGACGGGGACGGATATCAAAACCATGGCACTATATGTATAACAAACAACGTACGGGTAAGATAATTATACGAGTAACTATATATCCAAATCACACAAACATCAATTTTTATATAAAATTTCATGAACAAGAGGCTCACCACAAGGTGGTGCCGGCGACGGGACGGTGCGGGCCATCGACGGTGGTTACGACGGAGATTTAGAAGGCACTAAGTAAACCACACCTACATATGCAAACTAAGTGTTATTTTTGACCTCAAATTGCATATAAATCAAATACTAGCACATGGACAAGGCACTAAGTAAACTCACAAATTAATCACTATATAAAGCATTGCAAGAGCTAATCTAGCAATGAGAGATGAAAGGACAAAGTTGCTAACCTTTGTGATCATTTGAATGGATGGGGGCCTTGAAATCTTGACAAATTTTGGGCAAAATGTGTGATGAGCTCGAGAGGAAGAGGGGAAGAACAGAGAGGAGAGGGGAAAGGGGAAGAACAGAGCGAGCTCGGGTGGACGAAGGGTTTATGTAGGACGACCTTTAGTACCGGTTCGTGCCAAGAACCGGTACTAAAGGGGCTGGAGGGGCCCCAGTCTGACAACATCCTGCCACCACTCTCATTAGTACCGGTTCGTGGCACGAATTGGTGCTAAAGGTTCGCCACGAACCGGTACTAATGAAAGCGGCCCGGCTAGCCGTTGGAACCGGCACTTATGTATACATTAGTGCCGGCTCAAATACAAACCGGCACTAATGTGCTTCCCGTTTGACCCTTTTTCTACTAGTGGATGGTTAAAAGGAAGTGTCGTTTGGTAAGTTTTTTTTTCTAGGGATTGTTGTTTGGTAAGTGGAGTTACACTTTTTTTTGGACAGGAAGTGGAGTCACACTGGACCGTGCAGGAGAAGAACGTTCGAGCATGGGCCGCATTATGGGCTTCGGCCGTCACTTCCCTTCCTTCCCCAACCCAAGAAAGAAAGAGAGCCGAATTGTTGCTCAAAAAGGAGGAAGATTGCCGAGAAGATCTACTCCTTCGAGTCAACGGCCTTGCTTGCATATGTTCTCCATTTCTCGGATCAGGCTGAGATGAGTTCATCCGTTTTGTCCGTAGAGTCTGCAGTTCCGTCTCCATTTGTTTCATGGTGGGTCTTTCTTCACCACGCAGACTTAAGCACCGCTCTGCAAGAGAGGCGACACCGTTGATCTCTTCCTCAGTTGCCTCCTCTAGGACCTGGGAACTAACAATACCCGTGATTCTCCCCTCACTGAACTCCTGGAGAAAATAGCTTGACAAGCCCTTGATGGTGCCTGATTCACTTGTAAAAACAGGCTTCTTTCTGAGAAGCAACTCCACTAGTACCACACCAAAACTGTAGACGTCGCTCTTCCCGTTCAGCTGCCTAGTATGGAAATACTCTGGATCTAAGTACCCAAATGTACCTTGCACATTCGTGACAATGTGTGTCTGATCAATCGGAACCAATCTGGACGCGCCAAAATCTGAAACTTTGGCTGTGTAGTTCACATCTAAGAGTATATTCGAGGACTTCACATCACGATGGAAGATTGATATCGAAGCTGAAGAGTGTTGATAAGACAGAGCTCCTGCTGTTTCTAGGGCAATCCTTAAGTAATCGCCCCAGGGCAAAGGAAAACCATCAGTTGAATCAGCATGAAAAACTTGAGATAGTGAGCCACTGGATACATAGTCATACACCAGCAACGGAACCTCAGTTTCGAGACAACATCCAAAGAGCTTCACAATTTCTGTGATTTATCTGTGAGAGGACTGCAACCTCATTGATGAATTGACGGATCTCACACTTCTCAATGATCTTAGACTTTTTTATGGCAACGACACGTTGATCAGATAATAGGCCTTTGTAAACCATGCCATGGCCCCCACGACCAATGATTCGTGTAGCATCAAAATTGTTTGTTGCCTTCTCCAGCTCTTCTAGCGAGAAAATCTTCGTATACTCATTTGCTGTTTCATCAGATGATATCAACGTTTCTAGGAGAAGACCTTGATTCTTCCGGAAATAATTCTTCCGGAGTTGCTTTTGAACATTTCCTTTCCATCTACGAATGAGAAGTGCTGCACTGAAGCTCAGAAGTAGAACGCCAAAACCACAAGACAACCCAGTAATTGTACCTGTATGCTTTAAGCTCTTTAAGTTTCTGTTCTATCTTGTCTATCATAAATGTAACAATAATATAGTCTTACCTGATAGTAGACGCTGCTGGTTTATCTCAGTACACTGCATTTTTAATGGATCATACTCAGTCTTGAGAGGACATTCAGTACAGCTGAAGCTTCCTTTGGTATTATGGCAGACTTCTCTACATTTGTTCGGTTGAAGGCATTCATTAATATCTGAAATTAAAAAATCTTCGTAAGATGCCTTGACAAAATATATAACATGGAACACAATACATCATCATTGAGGCAACATGAAACCTTGCATCAGCCAATTTAATGGAACCTACACGAGGTAAAAAAAAAACAACCAAGAAGTAGCAAAAAGAATTCACTGTCTATTTTAATAGAACACTCCTAATACATATGTACAACAGTGAGGAGAGAGGAGGGAGGGATTACCTTCACAACCACTTTGGTTGTATGGATTTCCTTGGAACCCATCTGAGCATTTGCAGCGGTAACCAGCAGAGCGCCTTTCTGTGCTTACTTCCACGCACATGCTGTTAATACTGACACAAGCATATCTAGACATATTCTTTTGGGCCTCTGCGCAACTTAGATTAGCAGCAACCCACATCATAGAGGAGAATGGTGAGTCTAAAAAAGTAAAACGTCCAATTGTAGTGTGAGAGTATGCTTGTTGCTGTAGTTGAGTATTGGTGAAGTTAATGGTCCCTTCATGAATATTTATGTCTAAGACCTGGTAATTCCTTGACATCAAAATGAGGGCAGCTGATGCCGTCATATTTGTGCAGTTGACGTGGAACTGTTCCACTGCAAAGCAACCCACTTCTAAGCCGAATGGGAATGGCACGCTGATGTTACCGCACCAACGGGTGCAATCGCCCTTGCTCGGAATTGGATTATACCCTAGTTTTATCAGTGAGAAGTTAGAATATTTCAATGTCCAAAATATACCTAAAAACAGTTGTAAGGGGTTACCTTTGTCATCGTTCGAGCAGCCATGTGGAATGTAGGGGTTGCCTGAATAGCCAGACCTGCACATGCAGCTGTAGCCATCACTTCCGACAATGTAGCTGGCATCTTTGGCATCACCGGAACTGTTTGTATAGTCCATGCACTTGGATTGCTCACTAATGCATGCATAGTCTGTCCTGTTTTGCTTGGCAGCAACGCAGGTGGATTGATCAACTATCTGCCACAATAGCAGAAAGCCAGTCGGCCCATCACTAGTTATGCTGATTCTATCCCACAGTTCAGAGGTCTGGTTAGAGCGTGCCTCAATGTTGCTTTTGCTGTGGTATTTAAACAGAAAGCTGCCGTCAAGGTGCACATAAACACGACAGCATCCGGAGGTATTTTTACAGTCGTGCATAGCCACCATCTCTGAGATTCCTGGATCCAAGCACACAGTGCTGCATATCAACTTGGTGGCAACATCTTCGACAAAGTATATGTCCAGGTCACAGCCTGTAATGTTTAGAAGTATGGACAAAGGAGAGAAGGACCTCCCGGGCGGTTTCAAAGAAAAGTTGTAGACACTGGCACCAGATTTTATGGGTATGGTATGCGAGAAGGAGGTCTGGATGAGGTTCAAAGACGAAAAAGGATTGAAGCCGGTCACCTGGGTGATGCCGTCGCGCAAGAACAGTCTGGGAGGATGAGCGGTGTCGTTGCAAGTGAGGTTGAAGTCAGGCCCCCGGGAGCACCTGGATCCGATGCCAAATGGGTAGTCCAAGCTCAGATTTCCACAGCTCTTCGGGCAACCATCAAGCGTGGCAAGTGATGGATGTGCCCAATTCCCTTCAGGGTTGTGGCTTGTTAACTTTCCCAGTGACCCAAGTATCAACAGTGAGAGTGATGCGTACATCATAGGCAAGATGGCCATGATCCACACACCTTTCGCACCTCCCAGCTTCACTCAAAATTCAGTTCAGACTGGGGATTTAACTAACAGTGGTATGGAGAGAACGTCTCAGCTGGGAGGCCTTCTCTTTGATGTACCACTTCCACATCACTGGGTTGGTGCTGCAAATTTTATGTTGTGGTTACACTTGATCCATCCAAGTAAGAAGACATGGCGGAGGAACAAGAAAGGTACGACCTGGACTCCAGAGGACGGTGATGTGGTTGATTCGACTACTTTCTTGTTGTCGTGTTACCGCACAGTGACCTCGCAAGTCCGTCAATGCTTGCCTTGTTGTGCAGGTTATTGTTGCCCATCAAAGGGGGCACTGACAAGTCTTATCCAACCGGCTGATTTCTGTCCAGAAAAAATCACATCGCATTGCTTGCCGTTTTGTTCATGCTGCACAGAGAAAAGAATTGCTTACATGACAGGCATCTCGTGCCAAACTTGTAGCGTAGACCAACAATACATACCCGCAGCAGAGAGTCCTTGTTGTGCATGCAGAACTGCGGTATGAAAAGCCAATCAGGAGAATGCTACGTAACAGTAACCGAACTCCATCCTCAGTTTAAGCAGTTGTTTGCTCATGCTGCAACCCAGGGCAGAGTAAACTGAAAATTAATTCTAACCGCCCGAGATAAACCATGGAGAAGGCTGTTAGGGTTGTGTCGAATATTATTGTACAAGTTAGGTTACAGTTGGACTTGGAGTCGTACTGTGTGTAGACAGGGAGTTGTGTCCTAATAGGACACTTGTACCCTAGGCCTCTCATATATAGCGGGGCTAGACACACGATGTAACCTATGCCAACATAATAGCACGGACACGTGGGGGAGCCGGCGGCATGTGCCGGCGCCCGGGCGGCTAGGGTGCGGTATTGTAGCGGTGTCATGGGGAGGAGCGCCCGTAGTCATGCCCCGGGGATGTAGCCATATCGGTGAACCTCGTTAACAAATCTCGGTGTCGTGCCTCGTGTGATTGCTTGGTCCTCGGTAGATCGACGGAGTGCCTCGAATTTATTCTAACAAGTGGTATCATGAGCAAGGGTACGAAGAGGCAGCGGTTTGTTGATTTAGATGAAGGAGTGGAAAATCTCGTCAAATCGGTCACGCAGTAATCGGTTAATTGGCGACTGCGAGGAAGATCGATGGTGCGGCGGGGTTTTGTTCACGTTGATGGCAGCGACCGGAGGAACCATCGGAAGCTGTTGGCATGGGATTCGTTTGGCTGATCGATGCTGTCGGGTTTGATCTGGCGATTGCGGCGACATCGGGGTTAGACGCGGGTCTCGGCGGGCTCGTGCTGTATCACAGTTTTCGTGGCGTCTCGGACTCTCGGTGTTGACGAGATGCGACCGGTTGCGGCAGCACAAGCGGAATCGCTTGCCAGGTGCGCGGAACGCTGTCCCAAGCATGTAGCGAGGCGCCGAGGTCCAGGCGCGGGCGTGGCCCAGGCACTCGAGGACGGGGGAGGCCTAGCTGCGGGCGGGCACGGCGTGAGGCACGGCTGCGAGGCCCAGGCTAGCGCTGGCAGAGGCCCATGCTGGGCTGTGGGTAGCCGCGTCACCGATGTGTGGGAAGCAGGCTTCGAGCTAATTTGTCCGACAGGTGCAATGGATCACGTGATTTGTTACGGAAAAAAGGTGCAAGCGCCAAGGCACACTAGTGTCCAGGAGCATTGAGGTGGATTAAAAGGAGGAATTGATCCATATGTACTAAGGGTACACGGAAGGTTGCAGGAATATTGTGCACTGCCTAAGCTTGATTACGGTTTAGTCGGCATCTGAGAATAAGGTGCTCCACGGAGAATCGATGGTAAATTGGTTTATTGGACGCAAAAGTTTTTCAGAACTCTGAGCGAGGTTAGAAGTAATTGTGGAGCTGTCAAAGCGGTGGGCACAAGTTTGAAGGGGGCTTGGAGCGTGCAGAGGCACGCTGGCGACGTGCGTATAAGCCTCGGAGGAGTCTGGAGCGCGTCGTGGCAAGGATCATACATACACAGGGCGTCAAGCAATGCAAGTAGATGTGTGGGGCGGACACGATGCAGGGTGAAGCATGATTGCAGTCGGATAATTTCGGCTGGGTTGGACTGGACAGTCTGGCGGATCGACGTGGATGTTGGTCAAAGCAGAAGACGGTGGTGATTTCAGCGACAACGACATAGGAGCGTGGTGCTAATGATGACCGACTTCTGAGGCGTGGAGACACGTGGTGCAGGCTTGAGAGCTTGTGCGGCTTCGACAAGACTATGGCGCAGGGTTGATTCAAGGCGGTGTACACATGAGAGAGCTTGAAGTCGATAGGGCGCAGGGTAGCATGGCCAGCTACATAGAGTCATGTTGAAGGTGGAGCTGGAGTCTGATGGACGACTTCACTCTGTGCTGATGGAGGGGCTACGGCGTAAATGCATGGAGAGTCGAAGCCTATTTCAGCGGGATAGCGAGAGACACGTGGATCGGACTGGGGCGCAGTGGTTTGATGGAGGCGTGATACTCGGCATCGATCGGTGTTGATCGATGCTTCTCTGCAGTGGGAGTTGAGACAGTGGGGGCTAGCTACCCGGGAGACTCGACCAGGACAGCAGAGGCTCGACGCGGTGATAGCGGCGAGGCGTGCGGTAAGCACAGGACATAGCGACAGGCCAAGGCACTAGTGATCAGACATGTGGTCAGGCAAAGTGTGCAGGGGTGCTGAAGCAGTGTTGACGAGTACCAGATTCAAGTTGATGATTGGGTCTATCGGTGCTAGTTGATGGACAAGAGTTGACCATGGAGAATCTGAGAAAGTGGTGAAAAGTCTAAAATTGTCAAAAGCTGAGAGAGTACATGGCCGTATATTCTGTGGTGTTCAGTGCACATGGCAAAGTGCGGATGACAAGACAGAAGGAGGCGGAGTGCTATAGCTGTGGGACATGCCAGAGACCATCCGGGAAAAGGGTGAGACAACTGTGAATTTGACTCAGGGTGACGCAGGGCGACGGTGAAATTCCTTCGAGTTTCAGATAGATGGTCAAGAAAGAGCGGTGGCATTGAGTTCAGGTAACTCTTATATGTGGCATCCAATATGCGAGTTGTTCATTTTCACGCAGACAGTGATCGGTGTGTGATAGTGTTGAATGGATCTCGGAAGTTGGGAGCACAAAATAGAGTATTGAGGAACTTAATTTTGCTCGAGGGTTGACCGTGAAGAAGACGAGAAGGGACTACAGTTGCAGGTGGAGTCACATGGAGTCTGGGAGTAGCAGCGGTGCTCATGGCGTATCTTAAGGCCAATGTACATGGAGGTTCGACGCATCGACGAATTCAAGATGGTGGAGAATATTCGTCAAGGTGGAGTTTGTTAGAGTTGTGTCGAATATTATTGTACAAGTTAGGTTACAGTTGGACTTGGAGTCGTACTGTGTGTGTAGACTGGGTAGGAGTTGTGTCCTAATAGGACACTTATACCCTAGGCCTCTCATATATAACGGGGCTAGACACACGATGTAACCTATGCCAATATAATAGCACGGACATGCGCGGGAGCCGGCGGCGTGTGCCGGCGCCCGGATGGCCAGGGTGCGGTATTGTAGCGGTGTCATGGGGAGGAGCGCCCGTAGTCATGCCCCGGGAATGTAGCAATATCGATGAACCTCGTTAACAAATCTCGGTGTCGTGCCTCGTGTGATTGCTTGGTCTTCGGTAGATCGATGGAGTGCCTCGGATTTATTCTAACAAAGGCCGATATCATGCAAAGCAGTAGCACACAGTTGTCCGTGCTATATATTGAATAATGGATGCAATAGAGAAGGACATCCTATGGCTACGCACACCACGATCATGCAAGTCCGTCAGTATCTCAGCCCATCAAAGGGGCCAATAATTACAAGTCCTTGCCAATCGGCCTAATAAATCCCATTATATATTTGATATTTCACATTTTCCCTTGTGGGTTCTATGACTCTCCAAAGGTTTGCGTGTCATTAAATTCAGAGAGTAAATCGACAAAAGCCTTGCTGTGCAAACTGATGGAGACCTGTGAACTCACAAAATTGCAGCATGAAAATAGCAAACCCCTTTTCTGAATGCAGAACTATACCACACAATCTTTTCTGAATTCCATCCTCATCAATAGCAACAACAAATCAATACCTTGTAGATCAGTCAATACAATCAGATTTCCACTCGTCCCCCACCACCAGCCGGCGAGATCCGCTGCTGGCATCAAGGAGCTCGTCGGCCTCTCTTCAACTCAGCTTGCTAGTAGGTTCAGAGACTTCAGACCCCGTACGGGAGTAGGTTCTGGAAGGTTGGAGGTTCTGTTCTCTCTTACTCCCTCCGTAAATAGGGATCTAAACGCTCTTATATTTCTTTACAGAGAAAGTAGATTTTATCTTACTACTACTTACACGTGGCATGTTCACGAGAATGTTAAAGCCAGGTGGCACTCCGACCACATGAAGCACGCGAGGAAGCTTGCGGTAGTACTAAGCGGAGTGGTCGACGGTTCCGTTTCTCCATCAAAGAAGCTGTTGCCTGATTGTTGCTGATGGATTAATTGTACAGTTTGGTTCAGTACGGTGTAATTAATGCAAAATGGCTGCTCATCAACACAATGCATCGCAGCCCTGATTTCTTAGAAACGTCGATCTCATCATCATAATGCATATGCCAGTAACTCACGCTAGACCTCAAGGTAATAAAGATCAGTCTACATAAAAACAAGCAAAATTCCAATGAAAAACTGATAATCATGATAAATTGCCTGAAATTACCTAGACATAAATTGACTTACTACAGTACTAAAATTTAACTAGCATGTAATGCAAGCCCTAGCATCAGTTTTACAAAAGAGGGGAACAGATTATCGATTATTATGAGCTTAACAATCGCATCTAGCGTGGTATGCTGGCCGATGAAATGAACTCTGCCTCCAAGCTATAGCGCCGTTGGCTGTGTCCTGACTGTATGTTGACTCTCTCGCCCAGTTCCGTTGCAGGCA